TGCAACACGAAAACAATGATGAACAGGGTTTTACTTCTCGTATAAATTTATTAGAAGCGCCCTATGTCATTTTGCACGAAGTGATACAAAGGGCCTTTCAAATTTAAGTCTATTGAAAGCATTCCCCCACCTAGCCTGTATGACCGAGCAGAATCATTTAGTGCTCAACAATAAAAATCCACAGTCTTGGCTAAAGAGGTCCATTATTTGTTTGTTTATTTAGTTATTTTATTTAATTGACATTGTACAGTACTATTAAATATCAGGTATATTGGATGCTCTGTTTTAAATACAGTCAAGATTGCCGAGCAATGAATTACATCCTGCTTCTTGTCCTCAAACCATATCTTTCTGGTTTTTAAAACGGTATCATTTGAATTTCCATTTCCAAGCATTATTTTGAACTGTCCCGAAATTGTTTTCCTTTCTTTAAATGAGACTACAGCCCCAGTCTAAAGTGCTTGTCCTCCCAGACAAGGACAAAGAGCTTCTACATAATAGACTACGCTATTTGATACGAATATCATTTGTTGTATTTCGATACCATTACGTCATCTTTCATACGCCTTCCCGGCATGCACCTCGAGCATTCCATACGTTTCTGTAGATCAATGCAATGCGCATAATATATAGATAGCAATGTACCATACTTGGAACACAAGCCACCTCCAATCTCATCATATTGTAGTTGACGCGAATTAGGCTCCTTCTCATTTCATTTCTCTTGGAGCTTCTGATACCGATCATGTCGATTGATGATGTTTGATTATTTTAAGCACATCTGCTCCTACTTCCACCAAGTTTTGGTTATATAGCAGGTTTATGTTTAGGAATGTCTATCGACGTGAAAAGCTGAAGAGAGAGAGAGAGGGGGGGGGGGGGGGGGGGGGGGGGGGGGGGGGCGAATTAGAGCGCGAGAGGGTTATAACCAGGGGCGTAAATCCCGGGGGGATGGGGGGATGCATCCCCCCTGGCTTGAAGTAGGGGGGATGGACTGTACAATCACCCCCCTGATATTACCAAAAAAGAGAGACAAAAAAGGAAGAAGAAGAAGAAGAAAAAAATGTGATTGTTTCATATTCAGCATAATGCATGAGAAATGTGTTATTTTTGTTTATGTATGTATAACTGTATAGCCTACACGTATACAGTATGTCACGCCCGCTGGGATCACTCAATGTGACTTCCGGACCGCATGACCGTTACCAAAATCGCGGAAAAAGGGGTCAATTTCAAGCAATGTCTGCGGAAAAAATATTCCTCGAAATAAAGAAAACAGGGGTGCACAGGTGTTCCCGAAATTGATAAATAGGGGTCAGGAAAAGGGAAAAGAGAAAACCGGGAAGAAAAATTCTCGGAGCCGAGTCTTGTCCTTGAAATATGGTAAAATAGGGGTAAATTTGCGAAAGTGTCCTTACAATCTTATAAATAGGGGCATTCCAAAGTACGATTTTGTCCTTTTTCTGACGTAAAAAAGGGGGTTAAATTTCACAAAATGTCCATGAAATTGACCGCTAAAGGGGGTTATATGCATTGGTGGTAACGGTCATACGTGTCACTCTTTGCAGGGGAGTGACCCCACCGGGATGTCACGATCATAAGGAGTAGTTGCGCGACGTGCGCGAACAAGCACTTCCTAAACTTCAGAATAATTATTCGTTATTTTGCAAGGTATTATTATAGCCCAGACGTAAAGTGCGCCATCGCGCGAGCGCTTAAAAGTGCAATCATGAACAGTAGATGCCCGGCTCCCCCCCCCCCCACACATTCAGTGTTCTTGAGGGTGCGTGTATGCTCGTTCCCTCCCTTTGAAAGCACCCCTCTATCCCAGGACTGCCAACATTTCTGGATCCCCCTTTCGCCGGCTTTTCGCTGGCTTTTCCAGCCTCGAAAACTTAAGGGACTAGGGGATGATAATTATTTAAGGACTGCAATGCATGTGATGTTTGTGTAGGTCCATGAATTAATTAATTTGTTTTTTTATATTGAATGAATTGAATTGAATTCAGATAAATAGGGCTTATTAAGAGTCGAAAACGGTGCAACGAATTGTCTTCTTTCTATAATAATTAAATCAAACGTCTAAGCTTTTCGCGCTTCGCGCGGGAAGGGGAAACTGAATTCAGCCGAGAATTAAGAGTCGAGAACAGTACACCCAATCGTTTGCTTTCTCTAATAATTTATGGAAACGTCAAGGCTTCCGCGCTTCGCAATAGGGGGAAACTGAATTCAGATAAATAGGGCTTATTAACAGTCGAAAACGGTACAACGAATCGTCTGCTTTCTCTAATAATTCAATGAAACGTCAAAACTTCCGCGCTTTGCGCGGGAGGGGTAAACCGAAATAGCTCACGCTTGCCAGCTAAAGAAATTAGCCAAATTTGTTAGAATCATTATGTCATATTTTTCAAGAGATTCAAAGGTAGATGGTAATACTGTAAATGATAGCTCACAAATAAGCAATGTTGATAGGCACACTCGTAGCGGTGGGAGGGTGAATTGCCCAGTTCGCCTTGATTTGTAAATATGTTTATTTGTTCATTATTATCACATGTTTATCATTGTTCATATTATCACATGTCTATTATTGTTCATATTATCACATGTTTATTATTGTTCATATTATCACATGTTTGTCTTTGTTTATATTATCTTATTATGTTTATCAATTTTCATGTTATCACATGTTTATCATTGTTATACTAATGTTGTAAATATGTTTGTACTCTTATACCCTGAGAGGGGTCGATAGAGTCAATAAAATCTTACAGATCTTACAATAGCTATATGTGTTTCTTCCCCCTTTGGCTGGTTTAGAGAGGAAATCACAGGCGCGGATCCAGGGAGGGGGAGGGGGGGGGGTGGGGGGGGGCGAGGAGGAGGCGAGTTGGCTCAGTCGGTAAAGCGTCTGCCTGTCGAACCAAAGATCCCGGGTTCGACTCCCACCCAGGCGGATGACTGAAGCCTGCGTTCCCTTGTTCATAGATGCAGATTATGAGTGGAAAACACTCCGTCCCTCGGATAGGACGTTAAACGAAGGCCCCGTGTACAGGAGAGTCACCAGCCATTGCCCCCCCTTCCCCGCCACAAAAAAAGAGTAAAGGAAGGGAAAGGGAAATACAATAAAGAGGACGGAAGAAAAGAAGAGAAAATCAGTTGCAATTCGTATTGCTTCTTCTATCATCATTGTACAACAGTATCATTGTAAAGATTTGTTTCCTTTACATCTCAGCTATTTTCTTTTAAACCGCTTAGAGGCAATTTGCAATTTGCGGTATATAAATATCTTATTATCATTATTATCATTATTATTATTATTGTATGTATATAATATACTTATTTATTCCTGTTTGATAACAATAATATAATATAAACTCATAACAGCAACCGGGTGTCCGGAGAAAATATATAAAGAAATATAAGTATATTGTATATATAGTATTGTACACTGTTGGTCATAATGGTGGAATATTTATTTGAAGGAGGCACTTTTTTTTTGGTCCAATTTTTCAGGAAATATTTTGCGCCAACTCAGTCAGCCGGTGAATAAGGGGGGGGGGGGGGGGGGTAAGACCGCTATTTTTTTTTTCTCACCTAATTCGTGAGATTTTTTTTAAAAATTCTTTTTTTGTTGACCCGTCAGCCCCTCCCCCGTAGATCCGCACCTGCAGAGGATCCAGACGGCGTCAAGGGGGGGGGGGGGGGTAGCCAAATCTTAATACAAAATTTAGTGCCGACTCAGCCGGCCGGCGAATAAGCGGGGGGGGGGGGCCGCTTTTGTTTTTTGTTTTATAAAGGTTAACTTTACGTTATTATCCTATTTTTTTTCGTTTTTTTTTTGGGGGGGGGGGGGCTAGGGGGGGGGGGCCCGGGCCGGAATAATCGCTACGTGGATCCGCCCCTGCATATGAATCAATTTACAATGCAATGTAACAAATCAATATTCTGTTTGGAAACATATCATAATATTTACAATATTGTAACAAATCAATATTCTGTTTGTAAAGATGATTTAATTGAATTAACAATGCAGTGTTATAAAGGGGTAAGTGTGGATGTCTTTCCAGGGGAAATTAGTGCCGGGCTGGGATTTGAACCCTAAACCTTGTAATGAGGTTCAGGTGAATGTACCACTCTACCATGACACCTCCAAATTTTTAATTAAAAATGTCATCTTTTTTTTACACCGAGGTAAAAATCGGTATTTGTGCAGTAACCTTCAACGTCTTTTATTGAACAATAATCTTGAATAAGTTATAACAATTTACGCTGAAAAGTTTGACTTTTTATGTTAATTCCTTTGTTGGTGTAAGTGTATTTGATTTAGTCGACAAAAAGGTTAGAGCGCCATCTTCGGCGACAGACTTTTATAGACAGAGTTTCAAAGTCAAACAATGATCAGTGAAGAACAATGAGAAATCGATGATTAATTGCAACATATTCTTAGCTGCAGACAAGTTAATTGACTAAAAGGAGGCAAGAAGGTCAGTACTTAAGCTTGCAGTGTTTCAGTTGTGGGAAATATGTGTATAATTATGATATTTATGCCATAACTTTGAGGCAGGTGCCCATGTATAAGAATTTATGTTGATGAATCTGTGTATAAGAACTTAAGTTGTATTAATTGAAAGAAGTGTGAAGACTATTCAGGAAACACAAAGAAATAGTAAGGTTAAGTAAATGGCAAGGTTTGGTATAATGCCTATGGGTCACGCCCAAATTTGTATTAAGAAACCTGTAATTATTACATGGTTAAGGAACCTGTAATTATTATTGCATTTTAATTGTTGCCCATTTTTTGTTGTTTGTTTTCTCACAGTTTTCACGGAGTGAAAAGAACGGTGTTGAACGAAAGGAGTCAAAGAAATGAAGCTACGCTCCTACCAAAAAAATAAAAGAAACACTCCCGTAAAAATCTTGTTTACTTGTCGTAATTGATTGGCTGCAGTTACAGTGAAAACTTCTGGCTCTAAGATTGGTTACTGTTCACTGTCGACAAGATGCCAGAGGAAGAAGAGGCTAAGCGAACGAGATCCGACCCGAAGCCAACCGAACTTGGACTCCAGCACCAAAACGACCAACGTGAACTGGAGTTTCGTTATTCATTAAGAGGTTGGCGTCAAGCGGCCAATAAGTTGAGAGCTGCTTTAAGTGATGAAGAACTCGTATTGGTTATCAAGCAACAGAGAGATGAAGTCCAAGCTGCTATGGACAAGGCAACGGTAGTTCAGGATTCTCTCAGCAAGATTAAGGTGTCCTTAAAATTGCATGATGACAGCTTCGACAAGATTGAAGAGGTGGAGGAGCAGCATGCAGAGCTGATGAAACAAACCCACGAAAGAGTGAAGGTTCTACAAGGAGGCTCTGTAACCCAATCGACGTCATCCAGACACTCCTCTAAACCTTCTCCAAAACGACAGAATGATTGTGAAGAGTGGGTCAACGCCGAACCAAAAGATGACCCACCTACGATGGAGAAGATTAACCCAAGAGCTCAGGACATTGAAACGGGAAACTCGTTAGCAGCGAGTTTAGTGGACCAGATGAGGATAAGTCACCTGCCCCCTCCAGAGCCCACTCAGTTCGATGGAAGTCCCCTCCAATATCCAACGTGGAAAAGAAGCTACGACCTCCTAATAGAAAGAAGAGAGATAAACGCAGCAGATAAGTTCTATTATCTTCTGAAGTACATAAAGGGCCAACCCTTGCAACTGGTACAAGGATACGCATTGCTAGGTGATACCAACTCTTATGCTGCAGCGAAGATGGCCCTAGAAAGGAGGTACGGAGATCCCTTTGTCCTATCTAACGCCTACAGGGATAAATTGGACTCTTGGCCCAGAATCAGCAACAGAGATGGCCAAGGTCTTCGAATGCTGTCTGACTTTGTGAAACAGTGCTGTACAGCAATGACAACCATCGGAAATCTGGCTCAATTGAATGATGAGAGGGAAAATAGGAAGATCTTGGCTAAACTCCCAGACCACCTGATTGTGAGTTGGGGTAGGAAAGTTGCTCATTGGAAGAAAACTCATGGAAATTTCCCATCATTTCATGAGTTCAGTGACTTCATTGAGGAGGAGGCCAATATCGCATGCGACCCAATTACCTCTTTGTATAGTGTAAAGGAGCTGAAGGTAGACAAGCAGCGGACGATTCCGGGCGCAACATCCATGTATGCCTCGACAGATCAACGCCCTCAGCATCCAAGAAAGGGAAAGAAGCAGGAGTATGTATGTGTGCTCTGTAAGGAAAACCACCAACTAGGAGTTTGTAAAAGGTTCCTTTCAATGACTTTGAAGGAGCGAAAGACCTACGTACGAGACAATGGACTGTGTTATGGTTGTCTCATAAGAGGACACACATCAAGAGAATGCAGAAGGAGAGACACATGCAGTGTCTGCAAACGGCGACATCCCACTTCTCTTCATGAAGACTGGAATCGGAGTAATCAAGTACAAGAGAGAGATGATGTGAGAATGGAGATCCAATCGTCTGATCATGAGAGTTCTAACGCAACAGAAGAACTCCGGTCATCGAGTTCTCACACAACAGTAAACCACATGACCTTGAAGAAACAGGCTGTAAAGTGTTCAGCAGTTGTTCCAGTCTGGATATCACAGAAGGGCAGATTTGATGAAAGGCTGATATATGCATTATTGGATACTCAGTCGGACACCACATTCTTGCTGGAATCTACCAAGGAAGCCATGAATCTACAAGGTTCAAAGGTGAATCTTCTTCTTTCTACTATGTCCAAGAAGGATGAGAGGATCCCTAGTGAGAAAATTCAAGGACTCACGGTTCGTGCTCACAACAGTATGAAGACGATTGATCTCCCTGCAGTCTATACACGAGACATCATGCCCGCAAATAGGGAGTATATTCCAGTGCCTGAAGTGGCTATGTCCTTTCCTCACCTGACTGAAATTGCAGAGGAACTGCTACCACTACAAGACTGTGAGGTAGGATTGCTGATCGGATATGATTGTGCACGTGCTCTAATTCCTCGCAGCATAATTCTTTCTCCTGACGATGATGATGGACCCTTTGGGATGAAGACAGATCTAGGTTGGTGTGTTGTGGGTATATCAAGTCAGAAGGAGTTTGCTGTCAGCCCCGAAGACAGAATAGGGTTCAGTCATCGATTGATCACCTGTGAGATACTCCCTGAGCTGACTGAAAGCAAAACTGCAACCAAGGAAAAGGTGATGTTCTCACACAACGTCACCATCAAGGAAGAGATAAGTCCTTCATCGGTGCTGAGGATAATGGAAGCAGACTTCTCGGACCTAAGAGACAACAGCGAACCTTCCTCACATAATGATGTTAGATTCATGAACATCATGAAGAATAATGTTCGCTTAACAGAAGACGGACATTACGAAACTCCACTTCCCTTCAAGGAAAAGGAACCAGATCTGCCAAACAACAGGTATATGGCAGACAAGAGACTACAACATCTCAAACGAAAGTTTGAAAGAGATTCAAACTACCACCGTAGATACACAGAGAAGATGGAAGCACTCTTAGAGAAAGGGTACGCAGAGTTAGCACCAGAAATCAAGACAGCTGATAGTCCAGTCTGGTATATTCCCCACCACGGTGTTATACAGCCCAACAAACTTCGGGTCGTATACGACTGCAGTGCTCAGTACAAGGGGGAATCCCTTGACGATTATCTTCTCACTGGACCAGACCTGACAAATGCTCTCGTAGGCGTACTCTGCAGATTCAGGAGAGACGAGATTGCATTCAGTTGCGACATAAAGGAAATGTTTCACCAATTCAAGGTGAGAGAAGACCCCCGTGACTACTTGAGATATTTGTGGTGGAAAGACGGAGATATTCTTCGAGAACCCATCGAGCTGCGTATGACTGTCCATTTGTTTGGCGCATCTTCCTCCCCAGGCTGCTCCAATTTTTGCTTGAAGCAGACAGCTACTGATCACGCAGACGAATTTGGAAATGACGTGAAGGACTTCATTCATCGGGATTTCTATGTGGACGATGGATTGAAATCCGTTCCTTCTACAAAGGACGATATCGACCTAGTTTCGAGAACAAGACAACTGTGTAAGAAAAGTGGACCGCATCTACACAAGTTCATATCTAACAGCAGAGAAGTAATGGAATCTGTTCCGGAGCCTGATAGAGCGAAGGGAGTCTCCAAGACGGATCTTATGGGAGTTGATTCACCCATGGAAAAGGCTCTGGGAGTTCTATGGTGTGTTGAGTCCGACACACTTAAGTTCAGGCTCACTCTACATGACAAACCCCTGACGAGAAGAGGAGTCTTAGCCACAGTTATGTCAATCTACGATCCATTGGGTCTGCTGGCGCCAGTTGTACTGCGAGGAAAACAGATCTTGCAAGAACTATGCAGGAAAGCAGTAGACTGGGATGATCAACTGCCTGATGAACAGAGAAGCAGCTGGGAGAAATGGAGAGCTAATTTGCATAATCTGGACTCAATCTCCATACAAAGATGCTACAAGCCTGCACATTTCGGAGAAGTAAAGACAACGCAACTTCATCACTTTTCTGATGCCAGTACTACTGGTTATGGCGAGTGCACATATCTAAGGCTGACTAATGATGAAGGAAAGGTGCATTGTACACTCCTGATGGGGAAGGCCAGAGTTGTACCTCTCAAACCAATCACTGCACCACGTCTGGAGCTGACAGCTGCAGTTGTTTCAGTTAGAGTCAGTGCATTTCTTCAGAGAGAGTTTGTACCCTCAGACACTGAAGAGTTCTATTGGACGGACAGCAATGTAGTAATGGGCTACGTTAGTAACGACTCGAAGCGCTTTCATGTCTTTGTTGCCAACCGTGTGCATCAGATTAGACAACACTCTTCCCCCTCACAATGGAGACATGTGGGTACACAGGATAACCCAGCTGATATTGCTTCTCGAGGAGCTACAGTCAACCAACTCCTGTCTTCCTCTTGGTTTACTGGCCCAAAGTTCCTGTGGGAGAGCAACGCAGAGAAGTTCATTCAAGGTGATAAGTTTGATGTGAAGTTGGATGATCCAGAAGTGAAGAAAGCTCATGCAAACGTTGTACATGGTCACTCTAAGCCTTGTACCTTTGGGATCGATCGTTTGGACAGATTTTCCTCTTGGCACAGAGCTAAAAGGGCAGTAGCAAACTGCATGAGACTGAAGGCGCATTTGAGAAGGGGATGTCGAGAGCGAGGTCTGAGCAAGTCATCCACCACTGGAAAGACTTCATTCCATGGTGAGCTACAGAAGCTTACTACAAAGGAACTCAACAAGGCACAATGTGAAATCCTGAAGACCGTACAGAGAGATGCATTCAGTAATGAACTGACAGCTATACAGAACCAGTCTGGTAAAGGTAGTGAGATGAATGCAAACAAGAGACACAGGCGTAAGCAGCAAGGGTATAGTCGCTTTCATCGTCTTGACCCTTTCAACGACGCTGATGGGATACTGAGAGTAGGTGGACGCCTAAGTTGTGCTGAAGGTTCCTATGAAAGTAAGCATCCAGCTATTCTACCTCAGGACCACCATATTACAGAGTTGATAATACGACATTGTCACATTCAGACAGCTCACCAGGGACGAGGTATGACCATCAACCAACTGAGGTCCAGCGGCTTCTGGGTCTTATCTGGGAGCTCAACATTCTCTAGACTCATAAGGAAGTGTGTCACATGTCGTAGGCTACGTGGCGAATCTCAATGGCAGAAGATATCAAACCTGCCTAAGGACAGAGTTGAGCCTACACCACCCTTCACATACAGCTGTATGGACGTGTTTGGTCCATGGGTAATCAAAGAAGGCCGAAAGGAACTGAAAAGGTACGACCTCCTCTTCAGTTGTATGGCTTCTAGGGCTGTGCACATTGAGACACTAAATTCGATGACAACCGACTCTTTCATTAACGCTCTTCGACGATTCCTATCCATTAGAGGTCCTGTGCGCCAGCTTCGTTCAGATAGAGGCACTAACTTCATCGGGGCTGAAGCTGAGCTAAGAGAAGGTAGTAATACACACCAGGACAAGATTCAGGAATTTCTTCTGAGGAACGACTGTGATTATATTCACTTCAAATTCAATGTCCCTTCGGCTAGTCACATGGGAGGTGTATGGGAAAGACAAATACGCAGTATACGTCGTGTGCTAGAAACATTGCTGTATGAAGCTGGACAGCAGCTTGATGATGAGTCCCTGCGCACCCTCATGAACGAAGCAGCAGCTATCGTAAATAGCAGACCTCTGACTGTCGACAATTTGAATGACCCTACACATCCTGAGCCCCTGACACCGAATCATCTTCTGACAATGAAAACCAACGTGCTGTTGCCGCCTCCAGGACACTTCCAACGAGAGGACTTGTACTCTAGAAAAAAAAGATGGAGGAGAGTTCAGCATCTCGCTAACGAATTCTGGAAGCGTTGGAAGCGAGAGTTTCTCCAGAGTCTTCAATCACGTCAGAAATGGACTTGCCCACAGCGTGAAGCCCGTATAGGTGATGTTGTAATAATGAAAGACGACAATCCAAGAAACCAATGGACGCTAGCCAGAGTAGTTGATGTTTACCCATCCTCGGACAATCATGTGCGTAAGGTTAAATTGGTGATGGGTGACCCCAAGATAAACAGTCGCGGGAAGCGAATCTTCCAACAACGTTATTTCGAACGACCAATACATAAGCTTATCTTGTTAGTCGCGCATGAAGACCAGGGGAAATTCCCTGACAAGGAGCCACAAGGCTAGGGGGTTGAACTTGGATAACAAGGAGCCAAGGGGTCTGAATTAAGACTAATTTTTGTTATTATTTGATATTGTTTATTGTGTCTGAACTTGAAAATAATTTGAATTTTCGCAGACATTGTGTTTGATAAATGTGATTTCAACCAAAATTCTATAAAGTCTGAAAGGGAGAATACCCTCAATTTTCTAAATGCCACTTTGTTTTATGTATATGTATTCTGGTTTGATCATAATGCTAGAGTCTGGATGTAAGACTAAATTGAAATGTTTAAGGTTAAACATGCTTTATTTTTTGAAAAGGTCAACTTGGAATATAAAACTATTCCCTCGTTAGTAAAGGTATATCTGTGTCTGAGATGAAAACTACATCTAAGAGTCAAGTGAGACTATATTTAAGATTATTCATTTCAGTGTAAACTTACTAGGGTCTGAAGTCAGACTTGTAACCTTGTGACATTTCATTTGTTTGCAAAATGAATTGTAGACATAAGGTTGATGCCCATTAAATCATATCTATGTGTAAGGAGTTAATGTTATTTAACAAAAATTATACTTGCATAAAATAATTTTTAAGATTAAGGGCTGAGACTAATTTGAAACAAAATTTGAAGTCATGTATTACTATACAATACATGGATGGTGTTTTGGTTACAGAGTCAAATTTATGCATTAGTTTAGATTCTTGATCTCTGAACGTCTGTTATAGAAGGATTAGAATTGAACATTATAAGTTGTAAAACCAGTTAAACTTATAGATTGAAGCTAGTGAGTACAGCTAGATGCATTACATTTACTTCTAGATGTGCTTTGAATACATACAAAGTTAGAAATGTTAGTTCTGTAGAACACGTAAGAATTATCGCAGGTATGTCAAATAGTTTATTATGGTAAATTAGTTGTACTAATTTAAAGGAGCCATGTAAGTGTATTTGATTTAGTCGACAAAAAGGTTAGAGCGCCATCTTCGGCGACAGACTTTTATAGACAGAGTTTCAAAGTCAAACAATGATCAATGAAGAACAATGAGAAATCGATGATTAATTGCAACATATTCTTAGCTGCAGACAAGTTAATTGACTAAAAGGAGGCAAGAAGGTCAGTACTTAAGCTTGCAGTGTTTCAGTTGTGGGAAATATGTGTATAATTATGATATTTATGCCATAACTTTGAGGCAGGTGCCCATGTATAAGAATTTATGTTGATGAATCTGTGTATAAGAACTTAAGTTGTATTAATTGAAAGAAGTGTGAAGACTATTCAGGAAACACAAAGAAATAGTAAGGTTAAGTAAATGGCAAGGTTTGGTATAATGCCTATGGGTCACGCCCAAATTTGTATTAAGAAACCTGTAATTATTACATGGATAAGGAACCTGTAATTATTATTGCATTTTAATTGATGCCCATTTTTTGTTGTTTGTTTTCTCACAGTTTTCACGGAGTGAAAAGAACGGTGTTGAACGAAAGGAGTCAAAGAAATGAAGCTACGCTCCTACCAAAAAATAAAAGAAACACTCCCGTAAAAACCTTGTTTACTTGTCGTAATTGATTGGCTGCAGTTACAGTTGGTATGCATGGTCATTCTATTGGCAGGCATTAATGGTTGATCCGTGCAAATAAACTTCACAATTGTCATTCCCTTCACAATCATAATAACTACAACCTGAATAACAATGTTTTATTCATAAAACTGAAAAATAAGAACCAAACTCTTTAAAGAGTTTTGAGGAGGCGAGTTGGCTCAGTCGGTAAAGCGTCTGCCTGTCGAACCAAAGATCCCGGGTTCGACTCCCACCGAGGCGGATGACTGAAGTCTGCGTTGTGTGCTAACGTGCCCCTTCCCTTGTTCATAGACGCAGGTTATGTCAAGTGGTTAACATTCCGTCCCTCGGATAGGACGTTAAATGGAGGCCCCGTGTACAGGAGAGTCACCACCCTTGCACGTTAAGAACCCATTGCACTTTTCGTATAAGAGTAGGGGGAAACCTCGGTGTAATGGTCCACCTGCACACCCCAATCAGGCCGAGTATACGGCATCTGCAAGAATCTTCAGTATTGAAGGAGGCAGATTATCTTGAAGAAGAAGAAGAAAGAAAACAATGTAATATTCCTTTTTAGTTGGTAAAATCTAATCGAAAAATATAAGTAATATACAATTACACACGTAACTACAAGATACTAATTTAATCGTTTTGTTCAAATGTAAGAAAAAATTTAACGGAAATAAGCAAACAAATGGTAAACAAAATTCGAGTCACTCTTGAGCACTCTGACCTTGTAAATATTTATTTGCAATGACTCATGTATAAATTCCTAACTCCACTGTTTGTATTATTAGGTGGTAAATTTGACACAATTTGATAAAGATTTGAGATCTAAATATATAGGTTCGGCTAAATTACGTGAAGTTTTGCATGTTAGAGTAATCTATGCCATCAAATAACCTGGGTTACTAAACATATTCAAATTTTATGCATATTTGTCAACAAAGGTTGCTTCATGGAAGCTTGCCCGACATAGCGACAAGTGAAATACAGGATTCCGAGTACTGTAGTTTATTCATCAATGAAAGTCAATGGAATAACTCGTCACTAAGTTTCCAGGAAAACATCCATAAATTGGAATATGTTAGTAAACCTGTCTATTGTTGTAGGCCTCTATTGTTTCTGCTGATGAGCAGTCTTGACAACCCAACAAATTAATGTGGCAATTACATATAGCATCCATGGCAAATAGTATTTGCCATGGATGCTATATGCCAAATACAACGAAATGAGTGATTACTAGCTTTGCTACAATAACCAGACCAATGTGCACAGAAACATTTATAATGTTCGTGTAGCGGGTTTTGACAAAATAATGATTACAAACGTATATCATTTAGAAGAGAAAATGATGCATGATTCTGATAGCTTTGAGAAGACTTACACCATGTCAGAAAAGAACACCTCGGAAATATCATCCTCATGATTATGCAAGTTCACTTCTCACATTTCTCAAGCATGAATACAGAAATTACATCTCTCAGATCTCATCTAAATACTGGTGTCATCATTCGTATCCATTCTTTGTTTAAAAATAATATTTCAGAAAATGAATTCCATCCGGAAACACGATTTTTAATGTTCCTTCGCTTAATGATGACTTATCAGTCACTGCGATTGCTTATGATTTTATTCTCAAACTTTGGATTATAAGCAACGTGTTGATTTCCTACTTACAATGACACACCAAAAAGATTCATGATAAAAAATCCTACAACATCATCCTTATGATGATTTTTACAATTATCAAATGCTGTGCTTAAAAGGAAAACTGCTTATTAGCGACAAAAGAAAAGTAACACAGAAACGCACGACTTGCAGAACTTTTATCTTGATGCAATGTGATGTGGAGAAGAAAATTATAACTCATGAAGTTTTTTTAATGTATTAATGTAAATCTATTTATTCATGATAATGGCAGAATTATCAGTACCGTAAATGTCAGAGGTCGAGTTTAAAACGAAAGCTAAAAAAAAAAGGGCATTATAATGAGAAACTGACATCTAATCAATGAACAAGATGAACAGAACGGTTAAACCTAAACAGTAATGAAAAAGACATGAAAATGACAAAAAGTAGCAACAAATATCTTAAATAGACACATAAACACATGAATCATGAACACAAGGCATTCGTTACAAAACGCTACGACCGTGTAAATGTTACTTGATACTGAGAAAACTTTGTATACATTGTACGCACAAATTTGTCCCATGAAAGAATAACTTAAAGTAGCAAAAAAATGAAATTCTGAAACTTAAACCATGAACAGAAGACAATTACAGGAGATATAAAAATAAAGAAAACAGTCAATCAAAAAAATAAAAATAAAACTATTACACTATGTCCTCCAATGAAAGTTATTCGCAATGATAACGCATGTTCAGTTTTGACCTAACTTCAATTTCTTGATGTTCACCCTGACATGGTTGCTCATGAGTTTTTTAATGGTTGATATGGACACTGACAGAGGCGGCCCTCCTGAGGGGGGGGGGGGGGGCACAGTGCCCCCACTTTTTCAAGCACCCGAAAAGTGCCCCCTTTTACATAGGAAAAGTGCCCCTTTAACTTTGTAAGAAATGCCCCCCTTTTACATAGGAATAGTGCCCCTTTTACTTTGACAAGTGCCCCTATTAATTTGTAAAAGTGCCTCTTCCCCTTTACAAGTCTGATAAGTGCCCCTTTTATTTGGACACGTGCCGCTTTTCCTTCGACAAGTTCTCTTTTTCCTTTGCAATAAGTGTCCATTTTCAATTCTCATAAGTGCCCTTTTTAATCTCTAGTAAGTGCCCCTTTTCAGGTACGAGAAGTGCCTCTTTTCACTTTTAAAGATAAACTCCAGTACTGGTAAAAAAATAAAAATTAATTCTCACAGAATCAAACGAAACTTACACTGAATGTTCAAGATTACATATAAATGACATGTGCCAAACAATTTTGGAAGAAAATGTATATTGGCTGAGTAATGAGCATAGAAAGACAAGGAAATCAAGGTAGTACTAGCCCCGACACCATGTGTGTTGTCCCATATATAGCTTTCTATGTGAGTGCTTGTTACTTTACCAAGACTCGGTCAAATTTATTATGATTTTGATGACTCCAGAACCTTGCAGTGCACACCAATACTTACATGCTACATGATCAACTGTTTCTGATCCTTTCCACACCTTTTCTTTCACAATGCAATCGCATTACCAGTACTAAAGTTTATCTTTAAGTAATGCTCCCTTCATCTCTGATAATTGCCCTATTCAAATATGAGAGGTGCCTCTTTTACTTTGACAAGTGCCCCTTTTCCTTTGTAATAAGTGCCTCTTCCTCTTTTAATAACTACCCCCATTTTAACTCGGATAAGCGCACCTTATATTTTCACATGTGCCCCTTTTCCTTTCTAATAACTGCCCCTTTTCCTTTCTAATAAGTGCTCCTTTTCCTAATGATAAGTACCCCAGTAAAAAAA